GGGGGGGGTTGTGTTTAGCAGCCAATGTAAACACACAGGTAGCTGGCAGTAGGCTGCCTCCAAGCTAATGCAGCTTAACACTGTATTTACTGTACTATATTAATAACTGCATGCCTGTCTGGATGAGCTTGCCTTTCATGTCCCTGTTTTCCACTGTGAGTGATACACAGGCCGTATCTACATAAGACACTTAATGTGCAGTAGCCTAATAGCACTGTGCATGCCAGGCCAAAACCATACTAATACACTACTGCGCAGTAGTATTAGGCTACTGTGCAGTAAGCATCATAAAACAGTATGAGCTGGCACTACTGCGCAGTAACTGTTACTGTGCATTTAGTTAGCATTTCATTAAGCAGGTACTAAACTAAAGTGCAGTAACTACTGTGCATTAATGAACTTGTATATATGCCCACACTGTACTACAGCAGAGAGGTGTGGTGGAGTTGTGTTAGTCTGAAGTTAAGCAGATGATAGGGCAGAGTGGCACTTTGGAGACTTTTAAAAAGGAGCATCTTCCCACAAATATGCTGCATGCAAGGAAGTCCTGGTGACAATTTGGGAAATAATTCTGAATTCCACTTGCGTTTATGCGCACTGTCTGTAATTGTAACTAGAGCTGATTGGAACCACTCCAGTGAATGGCTTTTGTCTGAATGTGCCAAAATTGAAATGATCTGCAGAGATGACTGAATTTCAACAACCTTCTGCTGCGGCCCAGGCAGGATCCCATGGAACCTTGTCTGCCAGGGGGTTCTGTCAGTAACTGGCCAGCTTTCTGATCAGCTCACCCTTCTGAATCACTAGCAGCTTGTCTGGCGGTCTGCCTTGGAATCCAGAACCCCAGGGCTTTCTGGGTCTGTAGCCCCAGATAGGGAATAGACTTTTGTGGGTCAGTCTATCATGGAGAATTTCAACACATTTTCTTTTCATCACAAATCAGAACAAAACCAAATTCTGGAATATTAAGATGGAATTGCCTTTCTTCACTCAGCTCTAATTGTAATCAGTGGGCCCGTCTACATATGCGCCCGACTGCACTTTCTGCTCAGTCATTTAGTACTTGCTTTAGTACTAAATGATTGTGCAGTAACCACCGTTACTGTGCAGTCCCAGCAGCACATGGGTCATTTCCAGACCTACTGCAAAGTAGCAACAAGCACAGTAGCAACAAGATACTGTGCGGTAACATTGGCATCATGGTTCATACCTGCCATCGCTACGTTGCCATAGCAACAAGTACATCACCATACTTCATCATTACGGTAACACATCATCTCGTGTAGACACACCCAGCATGAAGTAAATAATCTATTTCGTAATAAGAAGTTGACATATTAGAATATGTGTTTTGTGTTCTTTCTGAGTAACCCTTTGTATCTGGTGGCCAGTTTAAACACACAGGTAGCTGGTAGGGCAGTGTGAAGCTTCAGTCCCTGATTTGATTCGGCAGAGATTCGGCCTGATTCGGTGGCCAAATCTCTGAATCCGAATTGAATCAGAGGACCCTTTAATCTCTCCAAATCAAATTGGAACCCTCCGAATTGATTCGCAGAGATTCAGAAAGATTCAGAGATTCGGACTTAGAGACAGCTTTAAGTGTTTTTTCTACATACCTCTAGGTAACAGACGGCGTGTGAGTACTGTGATGCTGGGGCGCATGGAGTGTCCCACCTTAGCATGGGTGGCTCCTGAGAGTGCTCGGCAGCAGACCCGGAAGTGGACCAGAAGGACTTCCAGTCCACTTCCAGGTCTGCTAGGGAGTGCACAGGGCCCTCCCCCCGCACCCTCCTGGCTTGGTGACTGGTGCCTCATGGGTCTGGGGGTGGTCCCCAGGGTCCCCCTGTGTCTGATCACTGAACCAGGGGGGTGCATGGGGGCCCCTCAGCGCACTCCCTGGCAGACCTGGAAGTGGACCAGAAGTACTTCCGGGTTCACCGTCAAGCATGTGGAGTGCCCCCCACCCCACACACACACACACACACACACACACACACACACACACACACACACACACACACTCCGGTGGGATGCTCCATGCGTCCCAGCATCGCAGGGATCACGAGCTGTGCCTGGTACCTCAAGGTACGTAGAAAAAACATTTAAAGCTGTGTCTATGTCTGAATCACTGATTCTCTGAATCAGCATCGAATCTTCAGATTCGGATTTGGCCAAATTGAATCAGGGACAGTGATCCGGATCAACAAATCGAATCACTGTCCATGATTTGGGCCAAATCCAAATTGAATAGGGCCCACTTCACACACCCCTAGTAGCTGGTAGTAGACTGCCTAAAAGATTATGCAAATTAACTCTTGGGATCCTGGAAAGGTTTGACTAAGAAATTCAGCAGTTTCCCCTAAGAGAACAGAACCAAGCTGACTTGACCTATAAGTGCTACAACCACCATTGTAGGTTCATGCCCTTTTCTTCCTGTTGATTCTTTGCCTGTAATAGAACAAGGCTGAGCATCAGGGGAAATCAGGCTTAGCTGGCTTGCTAAGGAGGGGAGGGTTTACCAGCAGGGGGAGTAGGAGTCATTCAGGATTCACTATCAGTAAGATTTCTAACTGTCCTTCCCAGTAGCCAAAGGTCCTTCTTTCTTCCTCCAGTAGCATGTCTTATGAGAACTTACTAGATATCTGGAAATTAGTTAGTCCCAAGTTCCATCTACTAAAGAATACAAATGCTTTCCAAGAGCTGCACATGCTTCCCCAGAACAAAACATCCAATTCTTACTACTGCTTATCCATGCTTCATTTTCATTTTCTGATACATACATATTTGTACTACATTATACATGTTTCATTCAGATCAAGGTAATAATAAGATAATGTATCTGGGCGAGATGAGAATCCAGGAACAAATTTTGTATCTTTCAAACTAAGTCATGGCATTAAACCCTAATAAAGAATGTATTCTCTATAAATCACTGAAGTTGTTAGTATTGCTTTCTGTGTTTAATTTAACCTGTGATCCATTTTAAGTTGATTAAAATCCTCTGTTCCTCTGTTGAACTGATAACTACATGCACCTATGCAGTACAGACACACAAACCATTGTTTGAGGTCATGCACTAATGTGACTGAACAAATGTATCTATTTAATCCTTTGAAGCCAACAGTTGAAACCTCTTTGAAAATATAGCCTTAAGTATATAAGCCACTCCTAAAGATGCATTAGATATTAAGCATTGTGACTGACACCCACATGATATGCTAACTTCTTCCTGAAGAGGGTGACATCCATGGATACATCTACTATCAGTTTCCACAACTGCATTTTTAAACTGAGAAAAACAACCTAAATCTTAGTTCAGTGGATTGAGTGCTTTGGGACTATTTATGCAGTTGTCTTTCTTTCTATGTCACCCATACAGAATCTTCTGAAGTTGGGCCATCTGTTGTTGTTCATACCAGTGTGCCATTTGGAATCGAATACCTTGAGTGGGACTGTGAGAAAGTGCAGCAGTTAATCCTGGAGCAACTGGAAATTGTAATGCCAGATTTGCCTAAACCAGTTAACATCAAGTGCCAAAAATGGAGATACTCCCAGGTAATTAATTATCATTGAGAATGATTTCTGAAGTTCCCTCTACATGTTACAGGTATTGTACAAGGAACTGGTTAAAGGTACTTTGCACCTTGAGACCAGCTACAGGTGCAAAGTACCTATCATGCCATAAAACTCCAATTAGGTATAAAGATAGACCACAAAAATGGGAAGTAACTTTATAGCTGGTTGCTATCAAGCTTTAATTTGCACATGTACTAGGATCCCCCCTGTGGCTGGGAACCCCGTTGGCTGCAACTCAGCTGGGTCCCAGCAGACATGTTGTGTGGCTGTGATCTCCTAGCCCTGGAAGTGTGTGGAGTCCCCAGGGCTGGGAGATGCTGCTGCTGCGATCTCCCAGCCCCAGGAGTGAATGAAACCCCCAAGGCTGGGAGATCGCAGCAGCTGCAATCTCCTAGCTTCTGAGGTTTCACGCACACCCGGGGCTAGGAGATAGTGGCAGCTGTGATCTCCCAGCCTCAAAGGTTTCATGCACCCCCAAGGTAGAAAGATTGTGGCACCTGCCTCTCCCAGCCATGTGGTGTATGGGGTCCCCCATAGCTCAAAACCTGTTAGCTGTGGAGGGGTTCCCAGCCACAGGAGCTTGCTTCTGACCAGTGCAGGGTAGTCTGGGATCGGGTTTCCCTTGCACCAGCAATAAGATGCAATGTGATCTAATGCAGCTTTTCTCAACCCCTGGGTCACAACCTAAAAGTGGGTCACAAAACATTGTAAAGGGTTGCAGCGAGGTCCCAGGGAACCGCGCGGTTTTCACGTGCAGGCTGCAACGGGAATTTTTCATAGTATCTAAAATGATAACAGTCTATCTTGGTGACAGTATTAACAAAATTCCTGTCCTACAGTAGAGAAGGGAATACTCCCATGTTCAGCAATACAAACTTGTTATCAGTTAGTTTGTCCCCATTCTATTTATCAGCGCGTTTATATGAAGCATATTTAAAGTAAACTGTCTTAGGGGAAATAACAGCAAAATTTGTATATTTTAAATGTCTCTTAAAAATTGAAGGAAATGGTTAGTTATTTCCTAAAATACCCAAATATATCTAGATGTTTACCCAAACTTCTTAAGTTAAATTACATTGGTGAAACTGAACATGGACATTGATACAAAATATTTACATAAAGAAGTTAGGGGCTTCAAAGGATTTTATTTTTTATGAAGTGTGGAAGAGTTACTGTAAATGACAAATTGAAAGTTCAGTGCATATCACATTGGCCTGTAACCAAGGTAAAAATCTGGCCTACTTGGTATTATCTTCATTTTCCTATAGATCAGGTATAAATATTTTTCAAGGCACTTCCCAATTCATAATATTTTTAAATCAGTCAGTCATACAAATCATAGAATCATAGAACATTAGGGTTGGAAGGGACCTCAACCAATCATCTAGTCCAGGGCCAGATCACGAACTTTTTATCACCCAGTGGCCCGGCGAGCCATATTCAAAGACCTCACAGGAAGTGGTATCACATCAGGAAGTGATGTCACGTAACCTTTGATACCAATGAAGCTGCAGTAAGTGACAATGAAATGGGTCTAGAAATGTGGTTTAAAATCCAAAATAAAAACAATATAAAAGCAAGAATGAAATAATACCAAACACTTGACTAAAATAAACACTTTTGCTTCTGCTCACTTCTCAATGAATGAAAGAAGCATAATGCAAGTCGACAGATCAAATGTCGAAAAGATATCAGCCAGAGTGGAAACTAATCAAAGCAACAAAATATGGGCATTTTTGAGAATAATCTTCAAGAAGGTTTACTTTTATTGAATTAATAACTAGTTATGACTAAAGGTTACATAATAAAACCCTGATTTTAAATGTTGATCATAATTTAAATAGCCACATCAGAAGGGCTTGTCAGCATCATCCAGTCTTAAAATAAATTGCCCTTTTCTACACAGAGATTGATGGCAACATGAAACTTGACCGCTAGGGAAGCCCATCCAAAGATACGTGCTCCCTTCACACCTCCCTACTCATTCCTACAGGTGTTCCCAACACCCCCTCTTCCCCCCCACACACACATGCTCCCTATACTCTTCCCTACATGCACCCCCTATTCATCCCTACACCCATTCCCAGCCCCCCCACATCACTATGAACCCCCCACACACATACTCCTTGTTGACCCTTTCACCCCAATGCTGCCTTCACATACAGACCTCTGCACCCACACCCAACACACATACAGGCAACACTCACCCACCAAAGTGGCAAGGGACCTGCATGCAGCCTCTCACCCTCATAAGATTCCAGTGATTCAATTGCTGGCAGCCTACTTTTGAGCAAAGCGCATCTAGTGTAGTCCTCATGGTGCACCAGACCAGCAGCTCTCACTTTTAATAAGGGCTAGGGCAATAGGATCCCCAGTTGTGGCTGGACGTAGAGCGTCTCTGGGCCAGGCTCCTCCTGCCTCCCGCCCAACCCAGCTCCGGCAACCGCGAGCCCCGCAGCCCCGGCCTGGCCCCGAGGTGCCCTCAGCTCCATGCAAACTTACCCGTGCCTCCGTCCACCACGCACGCGGGCAGGGCACAGGCCATGCTGCAGCTCCCCTGGCCATGCGCCGGGGGCAAGGGGCAGAGCCAGAGAACAAGCTGCATGCACTGTCCCCAGCTCGTCTAATCAGGTGCAGCTGGGGCAGCCCCACGCCGTGCAGCCCTTGGGGCAGCAGCGGCAGGACCCAGCTCACTGATGAGCCCGGCCCCGCGGGGGTAAGCAGCTCCCCTTCCCTCGCTGCCGGCTGGGGCCCACGGGCCGGCCCTGCCCACTTCACCTCGCTGCTGCCCCGCCTCCGCCGTGGAGGGTGGAGCAGGCACCTTGGGCCAGATAAAATGGCTTGGTGGGCTGTTGGACAAGCCTGATCTAGTCCAACCCCCTGCTCAAAGCAGGGCCATCCCCAACAAAATCATTCCAGCCAAGGTTTTGTCAAGCCAGACCTTAAAAACCTCCAAAGATGGAGCTTTCACCACCTCTTTAGGTAACCTGTTCCAGTGGTTCACCACTCTCCTAGTGAAAACATTTTTTGTAATATCCAACCTAAACTTCCCTTGGTGAAACTTGAGACCATTGCTTCTTGTTCTGTCATCTGTCACCACTGAGAACAGTTTAGCTCCATCCTCTTTCAAAACACCCTTCAGGTAGTTAAAGGCTGCTATCAAATCCCTCCTCAGTCTTCTCTTCTGCCAACTAAATAAGCCCAGTTCCCTCAGCCTCTCCTCAGAAGTCATGTGCCCCAGTCCCCAAACCATTTTTGTTGCTTTCCACTGGACTCTTTCCAACTTGTCCACGTTCTTTCTATAGTGGGGGACCCAAAACTGGACACAGTACTCTGGATGTGGCCTCACCAGTGCAGACTAGAGCAGAATAATTACTTCCCTTGATCTTCTGGCAAGGCTCCTAATCATGCAGCCCACTATGCTATTAACCTTGGCAACAAGGGCACACTGCTAACTTATATCCATCTTGTTGTCCACTGTAACCCTCAGGTCCTTTTCTGCAGAGTTGCTGTAGTCAGTCAGTTCCCAGGCTGTAGCAGTACATGGGATTCTTCCTTCCTAAGTGCAGGACTTTACACTTATCCTTCTTGAACCTCATTAAATTTCTTTTGGTCCAATCCTCCAATTTGTTTAAGTTGCTCTGAATCCTAGCTGTACTGTCCAGTGTACTACACCCTCCTAAATTATCTTAACCAAGTTTTCCATATTTTACTTGTGAACCATTCACTACTTTTAACTGGAAATAAGTTGTGTCTTTTATTTCTCTTTGTTTTTTGTGTTAATCAAAATCTCCCTCTTTTTTAAACAAAAACATTCAGGCTATCTAAATTTACCACAAATTTTTGCTATGTGGGCTCAAATTATTTAAAAAAAATTATCTTTAAAATTATGTTGTTGATCTTTGCATTATTTATAATTTAATGATTTATTGGTTATGAATTTATTATAAATTCCTATCTTGTATACCAGTGTGGCAGCTAGGGGATTAATTCCACAGATTGTAACACAAGCACAGTATTTTGCTTTATGATTAATTACAAAGATTGTAACACAAGCACAGTATTTTGCTTTATCATAATTAATCATTCATATAACAGTAGCACCCAAATAGCAATACTTATAAACTAAACATACTACAAATTTTGATTGGTCAGTAGGATCTGCACAGGATTGTGGATCTGGTTGGAATGTCAGGACTGGAAGAGAGAACACGTAATCAAAGAGAAATAAAAAGCAGGGTCCAAACAAGTGCTTCATTTATTTATTGCTGTTAATAGATTCATATGTGTTAAGGCTATAAAGGGACTTTAGGTCATATGTCTTATGTTAAGCAGGCCATAGAACTTCACTATATTATCACTGCATCCAGCCCAATCACTTGTGTTTGGCTAAACCTTATCGTCGTGAAAACATTCAGAAATAGAATATCTAAAACTGGATGTGTTTGTTCAGTGAGCTGTCCCCCTCCCTGTTAAAAATCTCTGCCATATTTCTAGTTTGAGTTGGGCAACACTCTGAACCAGAGGGGGGCAATTATTTTGTCTGGAGGGCCGCTTAACAAGTTTTGGTGAGCTGTCAAGGGCCACATGGGTAGCCTGGCCCCTTTACCATTGCCCTGCCCGCTGGTCACCATATTGAGATCAGAAGTCCCATCCCCTGACCTTTGACACTGGAAGTCTCTCCCCTTGCATCTCAGAAATACTCCTTTTGGGAGGGCGTTACCATGTTAGAACCAGGGAAAAAAGAATTCAAACACCTACTAAAACATATTTTAATTATATTACAAAAAATGTATGTCATGATTTGTGTTTGTGTGCTGTATATAGAAGGAATTGCATAATAATTCAAAAAGTCTCAGTTCTTTATATTGTGTGGGGGGGGTTGTGAAGGGGTGTGGTTGTGTGGGAGGGCATAGGGTATACTGGGATGTGTGTATATGTTGGCAGAGGTTGTGGGAGCACAGGGTATGCGTGTGTGT